GTGAAACAGAAAAAATCATCCCGAGTGAGGTGACCCAGACCAAAAAAGGTGAATTTGATATATTTTCACTAACATATGGATATTAACTGTTAAGTCAGTGATAAGCAACTGACAATCCTTATAACCACAGAGGTTAGACAGTGAGTAAGGGATGGCCAGGGAGAATTCTATCACCCTAGGAAGGAGAAATAGAGCAGATAGCTATGGAAGGATAGTTGATATTAGAACAGGAGAAACAAATAAAGGGAGAGAAAAAGGAGTGAGGGAGGAAATACATGTAAGGGCAGGTAAAACTAATGACCATTTGAGGGGTTACATGAAAACTTGATGGAGTAGAAATACTAAAATATATTAATATATGAAGGCAATCTATATTAAATAGCCAAATACTAGGGTAGAACCAACTAGCCTGGCCAGAGAGATCCCACTGTAAACACCCAAACAACCTAGGCTGTTGCCAAGGCTATAGGTTGCTCTCCACTAACTGATGGCAAGTTCCCATTGCCTATGATAACACCTACACAACTCATTGAACATGGATATACCAAACCGGTGCCTACATTGCAGCATCTTTGGTATAAGGAAGGTACTTTGCACACTATCAAAAACCGGAAACAGAAACAGAAAACCCACCAACCCAGCCACAAACTCTCTGATCTACAATGGTGTCTAGCCTGCAAGATACACTGGTAGAAGATGGCACAAGGTTTTTGGGAATAACCAACCAATATCTGATTTTACTGAAGGTTCCCTCCATACCCATACTCGGCAATTCTTTGGTGACATAGAACTTGAGACTAGACAGTCGAGGGATCTAGGGTAACAGCAAATACCATTGTTCTAAAAGGGTGTAGCAATAAGATAGTTCCTAGTAAGATTCTGCTATATTTGTAGATGGCCTGATTCAGCCATCATCAGAGAAGCTTCCTCCTGTAGCAGATGGGAATAAATACAGAGACCCACAGCCAGACGTGCAGAGACTGAGAGACTTTGGAACATTCCACCCTAAATGGGTGTCTCCATCAAATCCCTCCCCCCAGAGATCTCGGAGTTGTGAAAATGAGACAGGAAGAGTGCATAAGAACCAAAGGGGATGTGGGACCCCAAATCCATGGCCCACAAACACAGCAGGACAGATACAGTACAAATGAACTCATAGAAATTGAGGCAACATGCACAGGGCCTACATAAGTCTGCCCTAGGTGGGGTCTTAGAGCTGAAAGGTCAAGGGGACACTTGCCCTCATCCTTAAGGCAGAAGCAATTTTTAAATGATAACCACTTGAAAATGAAAATTTAGTTTTCTCCAAGAGAGTCTCGCTGGGGAAACAAACTACTCAATGGTAGGCTGCGTGCCCAGCAGCAGATGGCCAACAGAAAATAAACTCAAAGTTAACTTTGGAGGTTCCTTTTCCCATAATGTCAGGTCAGGGCTTTTCTTTTTCTTTTATTTTTTTCCTTTTTCATTTCCACAAGCATTTTTCCTCCTCTCTTTTTACCATACAGGTCTTTTGTATATATATCATGGCTTCCAGTTTAGTGCCTTTAAGAAACTCCTGAGTCTGAACAAGTGAGTCTATGCTTTCTCTATCTGTTTCTTGTGCCTTTTGTTGGACTCCTTTCCTTCTATTTGTCTGCTCTGCCCTATTACAATGTGTTAGTTTCTGTTTTATTATATTTTATTTTATTTTTATCCGTTATAAGCCTGTTTGTTTTCAAATGAAAGAAATGAGGTGGATCTGGATGGGAGGGGAGGTGGGGAGGAGCAAGAAGTGGGAGTGGGAGGGAAAAATGTAATCAAGATATATTATTTGAGAAAAAAATCTATTTTTAATAAAAGAAAAAATCCTTCCTTAATATGGGTTTGTCAGTTAGTTGGTCATTCTAACAGGAAAAGAAACTGATATAAGATCCAAATCTATGTTTCAGAAGGATACAAACTATACAATGAGATCAGATAGCAAAGAAATAGTGACCAAGTTGTCAAAATACTGTACTTTATACTTTTTATTCCATCAAGTGATTAATGATATGAGCAAAGAGAAAACCAAAGTGAAAAAGTCAGTGAGGAAAAAGAAAACCATGAGACCAAAGTGTCCTGGCAATCAAAGGACACTCTTTAAGGGAAGATGAACTAATCAATCATGATAACATTTTGCAAGGTCATGCTAGAAAAAGACTAAGAATGGATCAACAACTATACCAAAGACAATGGCATAGACAGGTGAGACAGAATGAAGTCTTACTAGCGTTAGAGAAAAGAGGGGAGAAAAAGAAAATTAGTAGTCAAAGGAGCATCACATTATCATGATACAGAGAAGTAGGTAACAGCAGCAAGAAAACATGGGGTCATGAAGACATCTAGGACCTGGCAGTCATTGTCTCAAATCTCACAAGGTCTGGCCCTTGCTTATGTGCCTAAAGTTCTCTTCTTGTGGTACTTTTCCTCTTTCTTCACCCTCAACCCACAGTGGCCAGTCTTTATTTCTAGACATCTGTCTGCTTTACCCAAAGGATGTTTATTCTGCATTCTTAGTTATGCATTCTTTTCCGCCCCATCTTCTAGCTCTATTATTCTTGTATGCAGAGAAGAGTTGCTGAGTTTTATTGATTTTTAAGGATTCTAAAAAGAGAGGGTTTGAGAATTCCATGCATGAGCACTAACTCCATCCTTCCCCATGCAAATTCATAACTTCTTTTATTTATTTTTGTAAGCATATGTTGTATATACACACTTGTATATATAACCTTATTGAGTCTCTTCAGCTTTTCTCATATGTACACATGTTCAAGGCTGACCACTAGAGATTGAACAAACCATGTGGGAATTTGTCTCTGCAGGTAATTGATTCTTAGTAGGCACTGACCTCCAGAAGCTCTTCACTTAGTATAGGACCATCTGGCATTTCCCCTATCTGCATAGGTGTATCAATTGCTATTATGATGGTTTTGTTTGAGACAGAGTCTCACACTGTAGCCCAGGCTGTACTGGATCCCACTGAGTATCCCAGGATAGCATCAATCTCACAGCAATCCTCTTGCCTCAACCTCATGAGTTATTCTGATTTCAGTGATGAGCTTCTCTGATGTCTATTCTAATGTTCAGAAACTCTCCACAAAGCACCCTATTTCCATTTTCTGATAAAGCATATCATTGTTAATCTATATATTTTTCCCTTTAAGATCTAACACTCCTAGCCGGGCGGTGGTGGCGCACGCCTTTAATCCCAGCACTTGGGAGGCAGAGGCAGGCGGATCTCTGTGAGTTCGAGACCAACCTGGTTTACAAGAGCTAGTTCCAGGACAGGCTCCAAAGCCACAGAGAAACCCTGTCTCGAAAATCAAAAAAAAAAAAAAAAAGATCTAACACTCCTGTTGAACTACAAAATCTGGGACAGCAGGAGTTCATATCTGCCCTACACACCACTAGGGTCCCTAATATTTATTAGGCATAAAATTGAATGGTAGACAAAATAGCAATGATATAAGCAAGGAAAGATATTTATTTTGTGACTGAAACATCTTCCATCACCTCTTGATGTGTGAGAAGGCTCATTGTCTTCTTTATTAGGGTTCTCAAACTGTAAGTAGTAGGTTAAGACACATAATGAACAAGCCATGAGCCGTAATATTCAGCTCCAGTGCAATGGTTACTATTTATGATGACTTTTAATTAACTTTGTACTGGAGAGTGAACCTAGAATTCTAGCACATGACCATACACATCCGATAGACAGAACAACAGTTTCTATGCACACCCTTAGGACATCAAAATGAAAATTTCTAGTTTCAGAAGGGCATAGAAATCTATTTTACCTTAAAACCTGAGAGCTTTCAGTCAAAAAGAACGAGAACGCTAAAAAAAAAAAAAAAAAAAAAAAAAAAAAAAAAAAAAAAAAAAAAACCTTCTACTTCCCTTGGCTAAGGGAAGTAGACCAAATTTCCGGGAAGAAAATGGGATCTTGGGGGTGGGGTGGGATGGGGGTAAGGGGAGATGGGGAGAGAAAAGTTAGAAGGGAAGGAGGGGGGACCTGGGGAAACAGGAGAATTGGGATAAAGGAAAGGTGGATAGGAGAGCACGGAACCACAATTCTTAGTTAAGGGAGCCACTTTAGGGTGGGCAAGAGACTTGACACTAGAGGGGCTCCCTAGTGCCCAAGATGAGGTTCCCAGTTAGTTCCTTGGGCAGCTGAGGATTGGGAACCTGAAATGACCCTATCCTAGAGCAATACTGACGAATATCTTGCATATCATCATAGAATCTTCATCTAGTGATGGATAGAGATAGAGACAGAGACCCACACAGGAGCACTGGACTGAGCTCCCAAGGTCCCAAGGAGGAGCAGAAGGAGGGAGAACATGAGCAAAGAATTCGGGACCCCGAGGCGTGCATCCACCCACTGAGACAGTGGAGCTGATCTATTGGGAGCTCACCAAGGCCAGCTGGACTGTGACCGAAAAAGCATGGGATAAAACCGGACTCTCTGAACATGGCGAACAATGAGGGCTGATGAGACACCAGGGACAATGGCAGGGGGGTTTGATCCTACTTAATGTGCTGGCTTTGTGGGAGCCTAGCCAGTTTGGATGTTCACCTTCCTAGATATGGACGGAGGGGGGAGGACCTAGGACTTAACACAGGGCAGGGAACCCGGACTGCTCTGTGGACTGGAGAGGGAAGGAGAGAGGAGTGGGGGGAGGGGGAGAAGGGTGGAAGGAGGGGGAGAAGGGTGGGAGGAGGGGAGGGGAAATGGGAGGCTGGGAGGAGGTGGAAACTTGTTTTTTATGTTTTTTTTTCTTCTTTTCGCAATAAAAAAAAATAAAAAAAATAAAAAAAAACTTAGACAGAAAAACGCTATTATCTAATAAATATATATTATAAAATGATAAATAAAAACCAAAGCATATAGACAAAAAAAAAAACTAGTTTAAAGGCTGCTCCAAAGAGAAAGATTAAAAGGGAGACGTGCTGCGGGTTTTATTTCAGAGGATTAGTGTTACCTTCCTTCATGGACAATGCCTCCAGCTTCAGTGGAAGATCAGAGGATCCACCTGTAGCAGCGGAACTCTGGATGTCAGGTAAGGCATTGCGTCGGCCTGCCCTTGCTGAAGATGCAAAGCTGCTGATCACAGACTCCACATCAGTCATCTCCGATGAATTTGTCCTCATCACAGCATCTATAGATAGAATGTGCGCATAAGAAAACTGAGCCTGTTCAGAGGTAAAGGGTCACCCCAGACACCGATGGCTAGATCAAAATCGCTATAGGTCTGAAGATCTGATCTCGGGTGGCACACTTAGAGCGTTTGCGCCTTGGCTCTGGGGTGCCCACGTGAACATTTGCTGAATAGGGCAGGAAGCACTTCTGTGAGCCAGATCGCTATAAATAACCCCGGAGTCCAAGCACCACTTGAACGCTTGAGGGTGTAGTAGACCTAGACTTTTGTTCTGCTTTTCTATGGATGAATCAGCCAAGCCAGAGCTTGGAAGCCAATGAAAACGGACGGAAATAGCCACTCCCAGAGTATTTGCTTGTGGTGTTTGTTTAGGCTGAAACCAAATCACTGTAATTGTGGGGAATAAACAAAGCACTTTCCCCTTATTCTTTAGAAATAAATTCCACTTTGTATTTAAGGCCTTTCCCTCCACAATTGGAACTTCATTTGTTCTGACACAGGTAAAGTTTTCAGTAGACTCATGTTTATGCCGGGCACTGTTTCCCTGCCTTTGGGTGGGCACAGTCATTGCTAGCACCTTCCCCATCATCCTTTGGGTGGGCACAGTCATTGCTAGCACCTTCCTCATCATCCTTTATCCTCCTAGTAATGATCTTTCACAATTCCTAAGAAATCATTCAATGTACAGGAGGTCGAAATTGTTAAATATTATTAAAAATCTTAACTGACCCTGTTTCATAGGATTTTCTTTTCTAATAAAGCTTCCCTAGGATTTAATACTGAACTGTAACTCTGAAGCTGTGTTGGTAGCAGAAAGCATTTGCTGAGTAGGCATTATGCATCGGGTTCCAGCAAGACCGAGAGAGAGAGAGAGAGAGAGAGAGAGAGAGAGAGAGAGAGAGAGAGTCCATCTGCAGAGTGTTTGTACTCAGAGGGACAACAGAAGGTGTATGCTCTCTAGAAGATTACCTCAGAACTCAAAATATGCCCAGTGTCCTCCCAAAGGATGGAGTTAATCCTTTCTGGTATTTATGACAGTAAACTCTGGTCTAGGAAAGCAAGCCAGCCTTCTCACAGTAACCGAAGGGTGGCTCTTCTTAGACAATCAACTTTCACTCCGAAAATGCTATTAAGCAAATGAACGCATGCAGATGCGCCTCATTTGGAATTAGGAACACAGCTCTTGTTGTCTGTCACACGTAAGAACTCATGTGGTGCCCCATGTGTTCCTCAGGAGTGTGGTGGCAGTCTAAGTGTCCCTACAAAAGGCCTTCTATTGCTGTGCTAGTCAATCTGCTTTCGTAAGCATTGCAGGAGGTTTGCAGACAAAATCTGGGAATTAGACTTTCAGTGTTTGATATTCGCCAAGTGTCTGGCATTGACAGCTCAGAGAAGTATAGAGAGCATTGAAATCTTAGTTCAAAAGAGTCCACTTGATTGAAGATTTGCAAGTGACAGTGGTCAATTCATTGAACTTTATGAGCCACAGTTTCCCTTCTCCATATCAGGTACAACAACTAGCCTGTCTGATTCACAGGACTTGCTTTGTGGAAAAGCAAGGAGATAAAGGGTAAACATCTCTCTACCCTTATAAGACCACCGATGAGCAACTGCTTGCATCATTGATCATCTCTCACTGCATCTCACTTCACCACCCTGCCGTGTACCCCCTTTAATCCTACCAAGAAGATCCTGCTACAGGATCCTCCAGACACCTGCTAGAGATATCTCGAATTTTCTATCAAAGGGACCAGCATTTCTCCAATAGTATTAATAATAATTTGTGTCTATCACCTCACTTAATATCCTCATAATTCTATAAGGGTAATGGGGTATGGTCCACATTTATGGATGCAGCCACTGGGGTTGAGAGGTTCAATGACTGACTTAAAGTGCGTAACCACTAATCTAATTTTGGAGAGAAGCTTAGCCCAGTTAACCCTGAAATCAAAATGACATGGATTGTTAAGAAAAAATCATAAAGTCCTGGTTATATATGCAGCTAGCTGTACATAGGCCTCCTTTAGATTCTGTTCTTTAATAACTCTGAACAGGGAACTGTGCATGTTCAAAATTTTCCCTCTGTGCTTCCCCACCCCCGCACAGTGTGTGTGTGTGTGTGTGTGTGTGTGTGTGTGTAAGAGAGATAGTGTGACATATATACCGAAATTCTTTATCTTAAATATCTGTTAGTTTGAGAGAACCCCTACTCATGATAAAGTCATTTCACCTAAGGTGTCTTCCCTATAGCTTGTGAAGACGTGAGTGATGCCGTCTTGAATTGGTTCTTAAGCCCTGACTCTATCCCTAGTCAGTTATCATTGCCTCAGAAATGATGCCCATGATCAAATGCTTATCTACAAAAATCATCTTGCCCTGTAACTGCCAGTACATTATGATTGGCTTCATAGACCAGACCCATGATTTCTTGCTTGATGGTCCATAGCCTTAAGGCTGAAGATAACAACAGAAATAAAAATATTAAGACATAATACTTTAAATATTTCAATGATACATGTGTAAAATGAAATGGTACATTTCCTAAAAAGTTAAGAAAAGTCAAAAGAGTTTTTAACTTCTACCAAAAGAGAACTTCTAACTCTGTCTACATTTGTACATTGTATAAAAATCTCAACGTTAATATTAAAAGAGAGCTTCTAAAAAGTGATTACAGTGATGAGCATGTAAGGAGAATTCTGGACCCTGAATTAACCGCTTTGCTATTTAGGAAGTTATTCCTTTTGCCTAATTATTATACCACACAGAAACTTTCGAAATGAAAACATCATAAAACTCTCTGAAAGTGTGTCAGACACATTCAGTAATGAGATTCTTAAGACCAGGTCAGAAGTGGAGAGCCAGGGAGAGCCAGCAGCCAGCCTGCCTTTTTTTGGGACTCTGCTCTGTTGTTTCTCAATTTACATTTGCATTGGGCTCCTCTCATAGCTTGGTGTTGAAGCTGACCAAGATATCCACCATTGACAGACCAGACAGCTTATCATCGCAGTCCACAGAGCTGTGAGGAGATAGGCATTCTATGGTGAAAAGCTCTCTATCTTCTGACCCAATGTGTTTGGTTTACAAAGTTTGCAGATTCTTAATTCTGGCTGCAGTATCCGGTTCTTTAAATTCTCTGGCAGTAAGGTGACCTGTAGCATTGGACAAAACTGGGAAGTCCATCAGGAAAATAACGAGAATATAGCACGTACATCGTGCTATGAATCTGATAATTCTAGGTCATGTAGAAAGTGTGAGATCTACCGACAGAAGTGTGTCCCCAGAACATTTTGCAATGTCATAGGAACAAAAAGAGGGAAACAGTTAATATAAAGTTATCTCGATTTTTTACAAAGAAACAAAAAGACTTACTTGGGAACTGCAGATAAAACAGACTATATTAACCAACTTTTAGTGCCCTAGACATATTTTAATGCACTAACAAACATTACTTTTACAGTGTAGAAAGACTGAAACAAGACAAATTACCAGCCATCAGACAATCCTAGCACAGAAAGGTTCTAGCAATAATATTTTGAGCATATAAATAAACAGCAAATCATGAAATGAATGTTCCTCCTTTCCTAAATAGTCATTTTACTTGTCTTTGTTTTATTCGACAACAGTGCTTTTAATATTTTATAAGGGATGGTATATGTAGAAACAGGACTCTGCTCTTTTATAATGCCGTGTGACATTTAAACATCATAGTTCATGGGAAGATGAGGTAATCCAGTACCTAAGGGAAATAAAACTCAGATAAGCTAATATTCTTCAGTTCTCTATGTTGGCAGAGATCCTTAGTTTGTGATTTTCTGTCTTTTATACACAAACCTCCTCCAAACGTGGTGAAAGAAGCAGAATAATTGCTTCTCTTGGAACCAAGAAGCCAAGTATTTATCCTTCTGATCACATATGAGCCCTTGACCAGCCCACAAGCCACAAAGGGGAACCAGACAGTGCTGAAATGAGACACAGTCTGGTCCCTCTGGCTACTTAACCTCAAGTCCTAATCTTAGGAAATTAGGTAAAAGATGTGAGTCCTTTAACACATCTATTCAACCAAGTGACAACATCGTAAGCTAAACAGAACTTAGAAGAAGCATTAGCATATGATGGAATTACTTTTTTACTTAAGAGATATGTCTCTTTAAAATTCCTCCATTTGTGGCATTTCCATGTCTCTAGTAAAGACAAAAACAACTGAAAATTTATTTACATTTACAGACATACACTTCTTTAATACTTGGGTTCTTGCTTCCAATAGCACAAATTCTCATCATATAATCACATGCATATTCAGGTTGTGCTAGCACAGAAATTACTTAAACAGTTAAGTATGTAGTATTCAAAACCAAACCTAATTTTATTCCCCCAGAATCTTCCCGATGAAGTGATACATAAATCTGAATACCTTTCCAGCACTATAATACTTATTGATTTAAAACAGGACTATGTATGATAATAATATGAACTGAAATGGAGTATAATAAATACTACAGTACATGGTACAGGATGCTTAGCTATGTGTATGGTGGTGTTTCCATAGGGGATCCTTTTTAATGGACGGTGCTGTTTTCTGCTTCCTGATAGAAAGATACTCTATAAATATCGACACTATAAATAGTCATAGCGGTCAATCTGTTTTAAGGCCTTCTCAAATTCATTGCAACTTCCCAATGGAACAGTCTAATTCAAATTAAAGGCAACATAAAGCCTACTTGTCAAGTTCTTTCCCAAGTCCAGATAGCATTCCTTCTTTTATTCCCATTGTTCTTCCTCCTGCTCCTTTCTATAAGAGAAGAAAGCAGCTACCCAGGAGGACAAAATAAATTCACTATGCACCAAAAACTTCTTCTGAAAAATAAGCATGCTTCCATTTGAATGCATGCTCCTCCCCTACTCCCAGTACTGGAAATATTGAAACTAGACCTATACAAAATATACCTGATTTGTTGTGTGTGTGGAGGGCTGTATGTATGCATGTGTGTGTTGCATTTATTTGTCCTTATGTGTGGGAGACATACAGAACACAGATTAATACTTTCACTTCTCCCTTGGATGAGAGACCTTCTTTGTAGCTATAAACCACAGCATAGCATCTTCATGTGTTAAAATTTGCATCATTTTGAGAATCTATATCTTATCTTCTAAGTGACCCAAATTGAGAGGACTTAGCAAGTATTAGAACGAATCATTCTCATGAAAGAAGAAAGTAAGAAAACAAGCAAGAAAGGAACGAAGAAGAGAGGGAGGCAGGGAGGGATGAAAGGAAGGAAGGAATGAGGAAGGGAGGTAAGGAGGGAGGGAATGGGGAAAGGGAGGAAGGAAGGAAGGAAGGAAGGAAGGAAGGAAGGAAGGAGAGGGAGGCAGGGAGGGATGAAAGGAAGGAAGAAAGGAATGAGGAAAGGAGGGAAGGAGGGAGGGAATGGGGAAAGGAAAGAATGAAGGAAGAAAGAAAGAAAGAAAGGAAGGAAGGAAGGAAGGAAGAAATAAAAATTCAAAATATAAAGAACAGCACACCAATCACAGTTAGGGACCCCCAACTCAGGAATTCCCAGCCATAGCTGGGATACATGAGACCAACATGGTGAGCATCTCCACTAGGTGAGCAGAGGAGGAACAGGTTCTTCCCAACACTGGAAGTGGGGTTGGCCCCCCAGGCATCAGAATATTCTAGTGGAAGCTCACTTCAGGAAGTTCCAGAGCAAGCTACTGGAGTGAGAGACTGCCCTGCTCATCTTCCCTAACTCATTCTTTTCCTTTTCTGATTGCTTCCAGACAAAACATATCCCCATTCTTCAAAATAGGGACAAAGACACCCAAAGTTCACAAAAGTCTGAGAACTCAATTTACACTTGTGGGAAAAATAACATCATTTTCGAATCCTTATGACTTATATCCACTGTCTTCATATGGATCACTTTCTCTGCTAAGGAGATAGCTTTAAAGTGCGCAATGAGTGATGAGATCAGTAGAAAGGAGAGAAGGAGAAGTTAAAATGCCATCATAGCTGCACTAGAAATGTTTTTGCACTCCTCTCTTTTGTGTGAAAACTGGAAAATCATCGTTTAATAAAGTCACTAAGCAAATGTGAGTTAGAAGCTGAGACCTACACCCAGTGTGAGTGAGAAAGTGGTAAAGTTTGCTTCCAACATGCATAGTAAAGATTAGAAGCAGCTAAAGAATAAGATAAAAACATAAGATTGTAAATCCAGTTTTCACAGAGTCATAATTAATGCAAAACTCTTACAGCATCAACCTTTGTCCTCAGACAGGCATTCAATAGCTCCATGCTCTGAAACAAATTTTCCCTGAATGGGATTCATTAACGTTAAACTGGACAAACTTATTGACCTATAGTAAACATCATACAATTATCAGCTGTCTTCTGTACACTTGTAACCCCCAACACTTTAGATCAGTTCCAGAGTTTTCAAGGGTCCCCTTTATTACAATTTTTTTCTCAGTGGGGGGGGGGGGGGAGATTCAGCCTTTTTCCTCTGGGTTTCTTTCCTAAACACAGGATTACTCTGAGGGACACATCATCAACAAAAGCTATAGGGCACCTGCTCTACAGCCACAAAGACAACTTAGGGCAGCAATTTAAGTGTGAGCACTTTAAATCACACACTCTCATTTCAGAACTCTTTTATAATATATATATACATATGCATTCATCTTTGAAATGAAAAATTGCAGTCTGACACAAATCAAATAATGTACTATGTACCATATACATCAAAACAATAAATGTAAGAATCTACATATTTTTTAACTTCTTGAGTTATTTTTTTAAAATTCATCGATGCAACCCATTTTATACCATATATCATGTGATAGCATGCTATATTTATAATATATATTCATCGTTTATGATAAACTTTTTGATTTAAAAATCATATCTCTTATTGATCACTTATCTCTTTTCACTAAAGGTGTCTTCCGATTCTATTCCCCATCTCCTTAAGTAACTCAGATTTGTGCCTATGTGACAGAAAACCATTTCAAATGAAGACTTCAACACACACTTTTGATCAGTGGTGTGTATACTTAACTACTCCATTCCACAAAATGAACAGCATTAAGTAGTACTTGCCTCCAGTAGGGTCCTTTCATTTGGTTAGGAGCCCATCTAGAGAAATTGCGCGTCTGATTATCTAAAAGGGTACATTCCTCAAGCTGAATCCTGCATTGCTTCCTTACAGTCTTTTGACTTCCAGCAAAATTTTTAAGTTCTTTGAAAACTTCCTACTATTGACATCAAAGTAGGATTAATATAATCTATTTTACTGTATTGGACCCAAGCAAATAATGTCTGTAAATGTTGCTCATTAGTAATTTATTAAATGAAAAGTATTTAGCTACCGATTACATTAATTTATCAATACTATAATAGAATATTGTTATGGACACCAATGGCCTTCTTAAGCCGCTCTGTGGATAAAGTTTTAGAGACTGCCTATGGTATGGGTTATAATGAAAAAAGATTAAACTGGAGACATTCCTCCTGAGTTGGTGTTTAATAAAAAACAAGTGTATAATCTGTCAGTATGAACATACACACCACTTTCACTGTTGCTAATATATTCTTCAGCATCTGGACCAGAAAAGCCTTTTGTAACAGAAAACTGCACTTCCTTAATCCCACCCTTGATCCCTCTGCCTGTCTTTGACTTACAGCATCAGACTTCCTCTACCATTGAATTCAGACTTGGACTGGAGCAACAGTCATTTATCCTGGTCCTTAGACTTGAAATGAGACTAGAATAAACAGAAGTTTATTCAAGAGTTTGGGGGAGAGAGAGAGACCGAGTAGCAAAGAGGCATCATTTAGCACTCACCTTGATCTTTGTAAACTTTTATTCTTCAGAGCTCATGAAAAATTATCTTTCTTATTTGCCAACATAGTTATCAATTAAAAAAGAGTTTTAAAAATATTTGATCCTGATGTTAAACATATCGTGTATTTGGTTTTCATGGTTGTCATAGTTTTGGGGTTTGTTTATTTGGTCACTAAGTTGTCCATAATTCTAGAAAAGTTAGCTCTGGTTTTAAATTTCAATTTTTCTACATCCAAGTACTAGCAAAGTTTCCCTTTTATTTGCACATTTATAGATATTCAAATATATAAATGTAATATTGTTTAATAGTTTTTATTTTAAATCATAGGTTCTCATTTTTCCTTCTTAGTCTTGACAGTCATTTAGCTCAAAATAATAATACCATTTACTTTCACATCAGCCCACAAATTACAATTTCAGAGAACGTAGACAACAATGAGGACTCTACGAGAGACATACATAGATCTAATCTACATGGAAAGTAGAAAAAGACAAGATCTCCTGAGTAAATCGGGAGCATGGGGACCTTGGGAGAGGGTTGAAGGGGAGTAGAGAGGCAGGGAGGTAAGCAGAGAAAAATGTAGAGATCAATAGAAATCAATAAAAAAAGAAAGTAAAATTTATTCTCACCATGCATTTCCCTATAATTCATGACCAGCTATAGGATTCGTTCCTTCCTGTGGCCTATGGCATTAAAATTAAGGTGTGATTTTCTGTGTTGTTTCAAACTCTGGTAAAATGGTGAGAGCCTTGTTTTACTTAATGGCCTGTTTCTCTCTTCACTCTGCTGCCATGGTGGAACCCTAGTTAAAACATCCTTATTGTGGGGAGCAGGCACAATTCCTGCTTATCCCTAGTAGCAGACTTTAGCTCCGAGTAGGTGCACGGCAAATCTTAACCTCTTTGGGAAATCATGGACAGGATTCTCTCTTTACTGTTCACAGCGCCTGGTTATTCACTCCAACCTCTTCAAGTCTTTGTTTGGCCTCCAGTGTTCTTGGCCTTGTCCTATGAGCATTTGTGATCCCAAACTTTTGTGGATATTGTCTGTTCAATGATCCATGTGTTCAACCACTGCCAGGTTCTCAGAGAGGACATCTCTGCCTCACCAATGAGGTGAACAGGAAGAAATGCAAATTACTGGTGTTAGGAATTACATAGCCTTCAAAGCATTGATATCTAAAGAATATCTAGTTATGATAAAGTAACTGCACTTGGGTAGCTGGTTCTGAAATAAGCCAAGAGCTGAAACAGGACCTTTAACTGCTGGAGACTCTGAGCTGTGGGCTATGTGGTAGCATGTTGTTTCTATCAACCATTATTGTCTCTTTCCATACAACAATTCTCTTGTGTTCAAGGTGATGTCACATGGTATCAGGTTAAACACTTCTTTTACTGAGGCTTCTGCTCAGTGATGTGGGACCCTGTATGCTGTGAATACCATTGGTGAATAAAGAAATTGCCTTGGCCTGTTGATAGGGCAGAACTAAGGCAGTATGGGAAAAACTAAACTGAATGCTGGGAGAAAGGAGGCAGAATCATAGAGAAGCCATGGAGCCCTGCCAGAGACAGATGCCATAACTTTAGCCGGTAAGCCACAGTCATGTGACAATACACAGATTAATGGAGATGGGTTAAATTAATATGTAATAATTAGCCAATAAGAAGCTAGAGCTAATGGGCCAGGCAGTGTTTTAAATAATGTAGTTTCTGTGTGATTATTTCAGGGCTGAGCAGCCGGGAACCAACAAGCAGCTTCTTTCCAACAAAAGGGCAGTACCCTGACCAAGTAGAAGTTCAGCCTTACTTTCTATGATTCACTCTAGAGTTCTCTGGTCACTGTGTCTATCCTGGTGACTGCCATGGGTTACTTGAGGTTACAATACAGATGTTTGTAATTGTGAGTACCAGGGACAAGCCAAAGGACAACCCTTTGTAAGATTGTGGAAAGGAAGAAGACCACCATCCTGCAGAGAATCAAGCATGGCATTCCAGTTGTTGTTCATGCAGGGGTAGTGACCTTGCTGGACTCCTGGGCTGTCGCTTCCCTTGCTGCTGTCACTTGTTTCCTTTTGACCCCCAAGGGCATCAAGGTTCACATCCATGGTGGCCCGTGGCCTGTGGCCCAGGTGCTGATGAAAACAAAAAGGGGATAGGGAGAGGAAGGCGCATTTGGCACTCAACCAATCTTGGGATGCAAAACCCATTGCCAATATTCCCTGGACTCCACACTGTTGCCTAAAAGCACACCAAAAAGCTAAGTCACAATCACAAGCCCAAGACCCCATGCAAGCCATAGACTTAGGACTTTTCTGGATGTGGACCTCTACCCAGGAAGACGAGCTAGGAATCCTTTGAGGAAAAAACAGCCACTTTTAATACAGACCAATAAGGTCCTGAATATTTCCCCATAACCACCAAAAGTCTGTGCAACAGATGGTTAGGTAGAGACAAAAGTATAAAATGCTGCTGATTAGAAAGAAAAAATTATCGCAGATTTTTTTTTATTTAAAAATGGTGATGAAAAAGAGAAAGAGAAAGGGTTTGCCCATGTAATAGGAATTTTGGGGCTATTGTGGAAGGTGGTTTTAGTCAAGTTTGAGTCATAATCTAGCATTTATTCCCAGCACCATATTAGTGACAGTGTTTCTCTAGCAACAAAGATCCTAATCCTTAGAGTTAAAGGAAACATCCATGGCATGCAGCAGGACAAATGCTTGGCATCCTTGTGAGACCTTGTGCAGGGTTTGAATCCAAACTTTAAACATACAAATTAACAATAACCATGAGGCAGACCTGTGAACATGAAGATACTGATTTCAGGAAGAACTTATAAATATGACAGAGGTGAAGAGGACCCTCCCCAACCACCTTTATCAAATATATTCAGTGCATGACCACCACAAAAAATGATTAAAAGATAAAAGTTAAAAACCTAAATACAGAAAAAGGAAAACGGGGGTGGGGGGGGGACCTCTGATCAAAGCTACACAAGCTAACCTGACTGGAATTTTAAAACTTACCTGAAAAAGTTTGTAGATCAAAAGGAAAAGAGCTCTGATCTTTTTTTGTGTCTTCAGAATATAGGTTCAAAATTTACAATGATATCTCCTGAAATGTACCAATTGGTAACTTACTATGACTTTAAATAAGTCTAAGGAAGAATGCAAAGATAATTCAGTGGTTAAGAGCACTGACGGCTCTTCTAGAGGACACGAGTTCAATTCCTAGCACCTGCAAGGCAGTTTAAAATTATCTCCAACTCCAGTTCCAGGAGTTCCAATACCCTCAGACAGACATATATGTGGGTAAACAAAAAATCATTTTGTGCGTATGGTGGCGGTGCCTTCGTTTAATCTCAGTACTTGGGAGGCAGAGGTAGGTGCATTTCTGAATATGAGGCAGCCTGATCTACAAAGTGAGTTTTAGGACAGCCAGAGCTACACAGAGAAACTCTGTCTAGGAAAACAAAAAACAAAAAAAACAAAAATAAAGGCCTGCTAGCTGTGGAATCAGAAGTACTTACTAAATTTGAACATATTGTTTCCTATAGTGTTGGAGGAATATGTTAAGCACAAAAACAGAACAATTTATCACTGCCTTAGTCATCAGAACACACTGCCTTAAAGTATCAAATAGTCTGCATAGACATTCTTACCTAATGAAAATTAAATTTCTGACATAAATTTGACAAAATGAGAAATCCTGATTCTACCACCTCTATTCCATGTTAACATAATTAACATGCCTCATTTAATTTAAAAAAGTGTTTTCAGGGATTAAAACTTATTATATAAGAGTCGGTGAGAGAAAGATTGATTCTTCACTGATTCTCCATTTTTTGTTCAATTGGTCTTAATTTGTCCCATTCTTGCATTGTGGGGAGGGGGACAAAGGATGATGTTCTGCAGTGGCTTCTAAAATCTTAATTTATGGCCCCATTCCATAAAGGCCCATGTATCTAACAACCTCCTGATTGAAAGTAATGACTTACCTAATCAATAACTTGCAAATACTTTACTACTATTAATCCGACTAATATGACGAGTTTGCCCCACATTTCAACAGCCTCTTGATCACAGTTGCTTTTGTATACAAGGAGACATGATGCACCTTAGCTGAGCTACTTATGGTGTCCATGAGCAGCAGTGCTAGTGCACACAATCTTTGCAAAAGAAAAAAATTACATATTATGATTTTTTTAAAGGAGTGAGAAAGGAGTTTACAAAAGCAAATGGGTCACTACCTCAGACATAGTAGAAGGCCCTTCCACCTCTACTAAATACTTTGAAGTCACTGGTTAACCCATGTGCCCTTCATTCCAGACACTGTCAAGAATAGACACTGACATTCTCTTCATCCACAAAGTGAACCCAAGTTTAACATCTGTGATAGTTTGGCTGATAATGGCTCCCATAGGTTCCTATGTTTGGATACCTGGTCCCCAGCTGGTAGAAGGGGTTGGGAAGGATTAAGAGAAATGGCCTTGTTGGAGGAGGTTTTTCACTGGAGTCTCAAAATACTTGCAGCACTCTCGGGGTACCTCTATCCTCTGGGTTGCTAGGATAACTACACATGGCCCTTCAGAATCTAATTTTAAAAATGCCTCTTTTTGGCCTCATACTATATTCCAGTAGAGTGGCAAACCATGAAATTATATGAGAGTCTTGGAATAGAACCTCATAGAACTTGAACCTGTTCTCAGAAGTACCCAGTCACCTGTTTACCTTGGGTTCTTGAAGTAGTGCCCTATTAGGTTGGCACGTCTACTAGGAACTCGGATACAGAATGAAGTCACATCTGGGCATTTTTACAAATTCTTCCCCAGGAGGGGTGATCTCTTCTCTGCTTTCTTATTTGAGAGACATCATGACATTCATGAATTCCTCCATTTCTCAATGTTCTTAGCAATATGACAAATTTCTTGTGGTAAACTGAATAAATACAGTAGTAATATTTCTATTATACACAATGGATCTTTATGGAGAGTTTTTTATTTTTGTCTTCTAGTCAAAACATTTCTAATAAAGGAAAAAGCCAAAGGGTGGTTTATTGGGAACATTGTAGGCATTCATATAAGCACTGGATGCCCTGGCCAATGGCCCCACTTGAACGTTTTTGCCAACTTGTAGACCATTACCAAGAGTTTTTCCCTTAGGTAATAAACATTGGGAATTTCTTGTTTTGCAGATACTCAAAAGGATGAACTGGGTCAGCACAATTCTCCTAGTAGGTTCACACTACAACTTAACCACAACAGCATACTCTGATGTAGGATTCTTTCTGTATACTGTGAATGTTTTTTATTACCATTGGTTAATAAAGAAACTGCTTTGACCTATGGCAGGGCAGAATATAGCAAGATGGGAAATCCAAGCACAGATAGAGGAGAAAAAACTTAAAGTAAGGGAGACGTCAGCCCATCACCAAGGAAACAAGCCATGTAGAAAATGAGGTAATGCTGTGGCCATGTGGCAATAGAAAGATTAGAAGAACTGGGTTCATTTAAGATGTAAGAGCTAGACAGAAATATGTCTGAGCTATTGGACAAACAGGGTTCTAATTAATAGAGTTTCTGTATGATTATTCAGGTCTGGGCAGCCAGGAAATGAAAGTGCAGTCTCTGTTTACCGTACTTGTTATCTGACTAGGAGTCCTAGACAACAATAACAACCTGGGAAATCATGTTATTTAGAATACTCGGGCTGAGAGCCTGAGGAAGACATGTAGTAGGAATTCAATCTCCCATAAAGACGAAGTGATACTTAGGCTTGGGAGACAGCCAGGGTAAGAAGTCTAATGATCTTTCCAAACAATTTTTATTTAAAACACAACTTGGAAAATGATACACCTGACCCTGCTAAGTGTCACTCTCACCAAAGGCATTGATTGGTGTCTGGAGATAATGAGTTCTATGTCAGTGACACAGGTCCCTAAGTTGCCATTATTGGCTGGACAAGAGGCTGTGTAGTAAAGTTCACATTTTTTATTGCCATCTCAAAATACGTTATCCTTTTTTGTTAGGTGGGTGATTTGCATACAAGTAGAGATGTTTTTGCCAATTCATAAGAGTCTCTGTTATCATCTGGTTATAAACTGTTGTTCACTAGGTTTAATAGCACATGTCTATAATCCCACAACTCAAGAGGCAGGTTCAGGAGGATTGCCATAAATTTGAAGCCTGCCAGGTTTGCATAGTATGTTTCAGGCCATCCAGGGCAACATGGTGAGACCCCCATCTCAATACAAAATGAAACAAAACCAAACTAACCAATCAAGCAACCATAAAAAGCAAAACAAACCACCTTAAATTGATGTCAGGCATGAATTATGGCTTAAAGCCAAAATTTAAGGCTGAGCATCTGATACAATACTCTGCAGCTGGTCCAGCCATACATTCCCTCACCACTCTTCCTATAGATAAGGTTTCTGAGCCAGACACACTTTCTTACGAAAGGCACCAAGCACCGCTTCTAAAAACCCTGCATTAGCAGGATTCTACTCTCTGCCTGCCTGTATAACTGTTCGAGCAAACCAATTACATCTTTTCCTCAGCAGCCAGTGGCATCTGCACATCATCACACATAAAAACCGGCCTGTCTGTAGCCCTGAAAATATACAGTGTTCTCCCCATGCCCATTTCCATTCCCAGGCTGTCACTATATGTAACTGATGAACTGCCCTCAGCTTTATGACTTCAACGTCAAGTTGCATTTGGCATTTCCTTTCAATAGGGGTGAACAGATGAAAACAACGCATAGTACCCATACCACTTTTCCTTCTCCCTTGAAAAAGAGCCTGCAGGATAGAAAGGGGAAAGGTGTTGGTTTTACATACATCATGTGTCCACACCAACCCTCAGTGGGGTGCAATTTACCCTATTCTGTACACTGCGATCTACAGTTGTTTCAAATGTAACCCCAACATTGATTTGAAGTATACAAAGCTGCATGTGGCCCAGTCTAGGATATATGAAGTTTAATGTTTGTTTAAACCACTTATATTAGTGTTTGAAACCTATTGAATCATTTTGTTGTTTCTACCACACTCCTCTAAGAGCCTGGAAACTCTGAGGTGGTCTTTAAGCTCATCAACCTAGGAGTCTCTGTTTCATATGACTTCTCTACCTTTC